AGGACGTTGCTTCACTGGCCCAAGTTGGCACCATCATTGCGCTCTTCCCTGGCGAGGCAGATCAGTCGCCGGCTTCTGGACGGCTGCTCACAGCTCAAGGTGGCTGCTGGCTACACACGGTAGCCCATGGCAACCCACTGCAGCAGGGGCTGCAGCCTTGCCGTCAGCGCGACTCACGGCAGCCCAGCCCCAAGTTGAACTGTTGTTCAGCATCTTAGCTGTAGAGAGCAGTGTCACTGGCCCTCATACGTGGAATCCAAACCGGGGCCCTCTGGCATCCCAAGCCAGTTCTTAACCATCGCGCCACTTGGCCGGCCCCTTTTCAAACTTTTGACTTAATTTTTTTATTATGTAAAATATTTGAATGTTTCTCAAGATAGAACTATTAAATAACATATATTCAGGAAAGTTCAGCTTTCATCTCTGTCTCCCTCAACCTTTATTTTGCCTTGTAGGCAACAGTTTAAATTTTTTTCCCATTGTTTCTATTTCTAGCTGGCTAGCTAGAAAAAAAATAAATGGGTATAGCCATGTTTTTTGCTTCTCCTCCTATATCTTATTAAAGGAAATGTTACATACTATACAAACTCCTGCACCTTACTCCAAACATATTTTGGAAATTATCGTATAGCAGAGTACTTTCAAATTTTCTTCCAGTTGCAGAATATACCTTCCCCCTTGTTTCCTAGCTTTGTCTCTGGTTTTTGCTAAGATAAGATCCATACAGGATTCCCCTGTGACACAGTTTGTCACACTATCTAGAGGGCCTCAGGAATGATTGTTTTCCACTAGAGTTGTGACCTTTTCCTGATGGTCTGAGATATATTTATGAGGAAGGGTGCATCTCAAGCCAAAGTGTAAAAGTGTAAGCATGCTACTGATTTTTATCTGAGAGACAGAAAAGAGATTGAGGGGTTGAAACCCACCCTTAATCTAATAGAAGGCTGTTCAAGAAATATTCAGATTGAGGTATACACTTTAAAAAAAATCAGGAACAGGGACAAAGGAATGTGATTATAAAAATTTGAAGGCATCACATTTTTATGAGTTACCTGTATTTCTTACATTTGTTGTCCCCTTTCTGTGTCCCATAGGGCGAATGGACCTGTGTGTTTGACTTTGAGAAGGCAAAGATGAGACCACTGTGATATGGGGTCATTCAGGGCTTTCTCCTAGCTCAGCTCAATATGCCTAATTACAGAATGCAAAAACCCAAGAAAAAACAGGGAAGGAAGCAAAGAAACTTTCCATTTCACATGTAATCAGAATTTAGGAATATAAATGAAAACCATTACTGAATTGTGATGAAATACTCTTTTTTCTTTTCTTTCTACTTCTTGTCCTTAAAACTGTAGGAAGCAGGTGATTTTCACTCCATATTTATTTAAGAAAAATGTTATAAAGTAATGTGCGCAGAAGGTGAGATCAGATGCACAGGGGACAGTGAGATGCAAAGGGAACCAGGAATGAATGAGGATAAGGGACTGCAATCAATATTGGGGACTTCCAGGTTAAGGGTGAGGATTGAGGAAGCCAAGAGGGGGGGGCGATTTTTGCAGAGTCACTGAACCAGGAGCAAACCAGATGGCGAGGAAGCCTCTCTTTGTGGAATCAGAGTCAAGCAGGAAACCTTTTCATGCTGCGAAGAAGCTGGGCCAGAAGGCTCTTCTCTGAGTGTCCCCTTCTCCACTTCAGCTCAGGAGTCCTGCAGACAGAGGTCAGTGGATTTTCCAGACCTAACTCTACAAGCAGCTCCCTTTCCCCCCTCCCAGGGCCTCATGTTGTAACACTGCAGCAAGTAGGGGGAAAACTCCCAGGTCTCTCTGAGCCAAAGGGTTGGCCTTTTATTAAGTGGAGAAAAGAAACATTAGTCTAAACTGCCTGACCAGAAGTCAGGTCCAAATCGTCCCATTATTTCTGTCTCCTATCTGTCACCTCTATGTTCTATTCTTGGGAAACTGATTATGTCTCTAAACGAGGATTAAAGAGCATTACCTGTTGGCTGAAGTCCAGGGTGCCCTGGAAAGAGAAGGAAGAACATATATTTAAAAGGTATAAAGAAAAATCTGTCCCCAAACACAATGTTCCCAGACTGAGAGCCCCATCCTAAAATTTCTCTAACATCACAACCCACATCACGTGATACCAGAATAGAGAGGACAGCAAAAACTCAGAGCATGAGACCATGGAATTTCTGCCCCAAGCCCAGATCCTGTGCAATTCATCAGCCTTAATGGCTCTTCCTTCATTTGCCCCAGTGCTGTGGGCCAAGCTCTCCATGCACATTAGCCTTTTTCTTATCTCCACAGGCCTTCACCTCTTATACTTCAATATACTAACCATGGACTGTTGATTTCTGGATTGCCAGGAAATTTGAAGTCAATTAGGAAAAGAAAGGTCTCATACAAGGACACTGATATACAGAGAAGTAACTTGAGCAAAGTCCTATTTCTTCCCCCATAAAGCCGATGGGAGTCTCAGCTGCCAACAGGTTCCTTACCTTTCTGATTCCTGAAGTAGATGAATAGCCCCGCCCCGAGGAAGAGCAGACCCAGCACGAAGCCCCCGACGCCACTCAGCATCTTGCTCTGTGCAGATTCAGACTGTGCCCCTGAGAGAAGAAGCTACTTTTAGTGATTTTTATTTCAAATCCAAGTTCTGTCATTGAGACTCTGGGCTTGAGAGCTTTAAGAATGGGGGAAGTAGGCTGCCCTGGAAAAACTAGAATAATGGGCGATTTCTGGAAAAGAGATTTAAAAATCACACTGAACAGATACAAGGATCAGCACTGAATTCATTTAAACATCACAGCCCTGACATGGGTCACCACTGCAGCATCTGATGGACGAGGAGCCGGGGACTCAGTGAGGTGAGTAGTTTGTCTACAGTGACAGAGCTAATAGAAGGCAGAGCAGAGACAGGACTCCCATCATGTCAGAAAGGTCCCACATTGTAGAGGATGCGCCTCTCAATGAACAACTCAGAGCAACAGTGCAGAAGGACCAGCCCAGCCGAGGCAGGGGACTGGTGCCCAGGGCCAAGGGAGAACCATGACCTGCGACATCATGAGAAGATTCAAAATAGGGACAGTCTCTTCTCTGCCTGCCAGGTGTCTTGCCCCCCAGGAGCTATAGTATTTATAGAAACTATCACAGTGCTGCCCCCAGTGACCTGTGTTGAAGGACAGGAGAACATGAGCCAATGAAAACATGGCGGAGGGAGAGGGGAACCCTGACGCTCAGGGATAAAGTCCCCTCATGGTGGGTGAGACATTTGTGAGGTCAGGAAGCTTCTCACTCCATTCCACTGTGATAGGGCTCGTCAGGCTTGGGTGCTGCACTTGGCAGGTATAGACCTCTCCACTCTGAGGAACTGTTTCCAGCATCACCAGGGTCTGGAAGGTCCAGTCTCCATTACGGATCAGGCCTGTGGAGACGACCCCAGCCTCCTCTTCCTGGCCATTCCGCCACCACCTGACTTCAATGTCGCCTGGATAGAAACCATTCACGGAGCAGACCAGGAGGTTGTGGTGCTGCAGGCGCTGGGTCTTTGCAGGATACACAGTCACTGTAGGCTCAGCTAGGAGAGAAAAGGCGGAGGGAGTACATGAGGAAGACAGAGGACGTCTCCTAGGTTGGCTGCCTTCTGGCCTCCAGGCTCCAGTGCCAGATCAGGTCTTGGGCAGGCCTCCCTCACAGCTGGCCATGTGGCCCCAGCAGTCAGTGCCATGAGCCTTGGGTCTAATCCTTACAGCATGGGCTCATTAGATTTGAAAGATGTTGAGGAAATTTGTGGGAATGTTTTTCCTAGTGTGAAATAGTTATTCACTGTTGAATGGAAGTGTTTGCAAATATTTGCAAGGCACATAACGCATTAATTCAAAGCGTGATTTCTGGATCAGGGCTGCCTGGGTTTAAATCCAGGCTCTGCTTCTTACTGGTTGATCCTGGGAGAATTTTTAATATTCCTCTCTCCCTCAGCTTTTTCAGCAATAAAGGGGATAATACTAACTTATCTCTTAGGGTTACGTGAGGTTAAATGCACCCAAAATATGCAAAGCAATAACTGGAATTTAGCCTTCAGTATATGTTAGCTATTAATTATCCTTGTTTACTTGGGGGAGAAAATATGAGTCAAAGCAGTGTGGATAAATTGCGGGACAGCTTAGCGTAAGTGGTGAGATAGAGCATGAAATCCTGGGAATGCTACACTCACACCTTAGAACAGCTCAGAAATGGTTCTACCCTGGGAAGCAGGAAGGACACAGGTGATTCTCTATGAGCTGAGTCCCAGAAAAGCATAAGTCCTGAAGGAGCGGGAAAGAAGCAAAAAATGAATCATTTAATAAGCTCTTATATTTGCACTCAGCTGATCCATCTCTCTTCTTTGCAAACAAGCAGATCTATTACTGGAATTGTTATTATTCTGCAGTTTTCTCTCTTTTAAGCTGACATTTGTGTTCAGGGCAGGGCCTGGAACTCATTAACATGTGTGCTTAATGCCCTAGACAATCCCTGGCACTACCAGCCTCAATAAATACAATTTGTTTTAATAAAAAAGATGGATAAATCTGGGGAAAAATTTTTACATTCCCACAAAATGATACATATAGATTGATAGTAAATCATTGCTCACAACTTTGCAGTATATTTCATAAAGTAAAAACGTTTAAATTAATAACATGGAAAATAATGAACAAAGTCAAAATATAAACCACAAACTGGAGAAAATGCAGAATCAAATGTCAGCAGAGTGTTAATCTTACAGCATAGAAAACCCATAAAATCACTGAGAAAAACCCTATGGCACCAGAGATAATAGACAATAGATTATTGATAGAGCAATAACAACGATTAACCAATAAATATGTGAGAAATGTTTAAGAGCCTTAGAAATCAAAGAAATATAAATTTAAAATGAAATGCCTGTTAATTTTCAAATGAGTGGCAATATTGAAACAAGATCTAACTAAAGGCAATATGAGGTAAACTGTTACAACTATAAAGAGAAATAATATGTAACTATTTATAAAACTGTTACCATTATATAAATAGTACAGCAGTAAGTTAAGTAACAAAATTATAATTCAAAAAGGTTGTTTCACAATCATTTCAACTATGTAAAAATATATACACTAAAAAAACCCCCCAGGAATTTAGAACTGAAAGAAGCTTCAGAAAGATCAGAGGTGTCTCAGAGGTTCCTTCCTCCCCCAACTCCTCAAAAATGTGTCTAATACTTTTTCTCAATGAAATGCTTATGGAACAAACACATCACCCTCATTCCAAGGGTTTTGGAATTAAGAAGCATGTAGCTAAGACTGGTGGTGATTCGCCTCCTTACATTCTCCCCAACCTTTCACATTCCTTATCTCTGCTCCCCTAAACCTCCACCCAACCACAAACAGCACCATAAATTTCCCTTCCCTCATCTCTGTCCCCATCAATGGCTCCTCCATCTCCTGTTCTTGCACTGCCACTCTCCCCCAATGTCACCTGTCCCACAGTGGCCACCGTGGTCCCCTGAAGCCTCCCTCCAGCAAACCCCTACTCTCCCTCCAGGTCCTCAGACCCCAGGGCTCTCCCCCACCACACACTCTCTCTGTTCCACCTCAGCGCACAGCACACTCCTCACACGCTCCCCCTTCACACGCTCCCCGCCACACACACTCAAAACCCTCCCCTCACACGCTCTCCCCTCACAATCACACACGGACAACATCACACTGTGTCCCGAGCATTACACCCTCACACGTCCCCACACAATTGTGCTCCCTCACAGTCCTGCACACTCACCCCACTGACCACACACACACACACCCCGCCGCTCACCTTGCCGATGCACCAGGAAGTTATCAAACACCTCGTAGTTGTGTCTGCACACCGTGTCCACCTGCGCCCGCATCCGCTCCAGGAAGTCCTGCTGGCTGTTCCAGGCCTCGGCGGTCGGCCGCCCCAGCTCGGTCACCGCCACGAACTCCCCCACGTCGCTGTCGAAGCGCAAGTTCTCCTGCCCGTTGTAGATGTCTCTGATCACAAGCCGCACCCGCTGCGTTCCGTTGGTGAAATGACACTCGCCCTTAAGATACTCCAGGAAATGTGCTGTAGAAACAGGAAAGATCAGGTCACACTGGTCAGACATTGACGACGACGTCCCCCAAAGCGGGGCGCCCAGGTCGCGTGGGGACACGAGGACGCCCCCTCTTTGGGCCCTGCGGGTACCCCCATACCAGTACCCACGGGTTCATCTTTAATCCGCCCGCGGTGCGGGAGGGGGGCCTTGCGGGGCTGAGAAAACCCCTGGGGCCCGGAGCCTTTCGGATCCACGGGGCTCACTGCTGGGCTGCAGACTCCCAGGGGAGCTGGACAGGGGTTTGTCCCATCACCGCCTCCTGCACCGCCTCCTTCTGGAAGCCTCCACACTAAAGACACCGCTCCATCCTCATCTCACAGTTAGTTCTTATATATGCTCCGCCTCCTTTATTCTGTAAATATCATTACTGCGACCTAGTGACAGGCCCGCGCTGCGCCTGGGAATCCCAGTAAGGAAACCAGACATTTCTCTACTCCTGGGGCTTAACAGTGAGAGTGAGGAACAAAACCCAGCCACACAGAATCCACACAGGACAGAGAAATGTCAGAAGAAAAAAGTGGATGGAGTTCTAGAACAGAGAATAATAGGATGATCTAAATTATATTAGGGTGCCAGAAAAGGGGTCTCTGAGTGACATTTAAGATGTGACATGAAAAGTTAAGTTGGTGTGAGCTGGAGAATCATCGTGTGTGTGTGTGTGTGTGTGTGTGTGTGTGTGTGTGTGTGTGTGTGTGTGTGTTTGGGGGAAAGAGAGGCACATTTTAGATGAAGGTAATACCATGTGCAAAGTTTGAAAGAACTGATGAACTTCCTCCAGAAACCAGAAGAAAACAGTTCTCTGAAGCACAGACAGTGAGAAGAAGGAGGGGAAAGATTAGACTGGAGAAGACAGGTGAAATGGGTGCTGAAAAGCCTGTGGACGACGTTAAGATGTGACTTTATACTAAATGTAACGAGAAACTACAGATGAGTTTTAAGGAGGTCAGAACCATGATATAATACAGGCCCACAATCCCCTATTTGAATTTCCAAATCCAGAAATCTGAGAAAATCAAATCTGGGTGCCAAAGCCATTTGGTAAATCTGACCTGTTGAGGTAAAGAGAGTCAGACGTGTCTCAGAGCTCTTATTGGTCAATTGGCCACATGAGCTTCTGCACTTTATGTTTAATTGAACTAAGAAGGTTTCAAAAAGAGACAAAAAAACCTCTGTGGTTACAAGTGAGACAAATAAATGGGAGCATCTGACTTGATCAATGGAATAGAATGTAGAGTTACTGAAAAAGTTGTATACATTTTATTAAAAAATACTTGTGGTGGTCACAATTTATGACTTATACCATCTGAAAAATCTGTGATTGAAAAAGCTGCTGTTAATTATGAAGCAGCTAAGAATTACATTGAAAAATTTGCCAATATTGTATCTGATGAAAACGTTGGTCTTGAACAAAAGTATTTTGCTAGAAAAATAGCTCTGCACCAGGACTAGACCCTAAAAACCATTCACAGTGTCTAACAGGAGAGTACAAAAAGCTATTCTGAGATTAGCCAAAAGATGAGTGTTCCTGAGTGTGCTAACACTGCAGGCTCTCCCAAAACAAAGTGGGCAGTGACTGGAAAAAGCCCAAATCCAGGATCTCTGAAAGGGGGAAGCATTTTTACCTGTGCATTACTGTTCAAAGAAGGAAACATGATAACCAGACAGGTATTCTCTAACTGGCTCAGTAACCACCTTGTGTCAGTGGCTTATGTTCAGTGCAGGCGAGCTGGATTGTGAGAAAACTGTAAAACGTGACTGTCCCCTTAACAATTGCTCCACATACAGCTCTCCTGAGCTTCATGTAACAAGTAAAGTTCTGGGTGTTTATTTCCCCCCACTATGACGCCTGTGTTGAAATTTTAGAACCAAGGAATTTCTTGTCCTATGAAGAGCAGGTATAAATAATTTTTAAGCTCTGTTCTTACAGATGCCTACAAATCCACAGCTTTCTGAAAGAAGTCAGCTGCTAGTGTTGATTATGAAGCTAATAATGAATAAATCAACTTTAAGAAATGTTTGGCACAGACTTTAGGCTATATTCATCTTTTCAAATGGCCTAGCAGATGAAGACTTTGAAAATTATTGTGTCATTATGAAAAAAAAATCATATCAAACTTCAATATATGTAAAAGCTTTCAGCTAAAAATCTAAATAAGTCAGAGGCTGGTAACATAAAACATATATACACTGAGCAGTGACAATGATGCTTCTGTTGGGAGTGAAGACAGTGAGAGACTCGTCCACTTGCTTGCTCCCCTTCAGCCACTTCAGCTTTCTTTCTGTCCCTTAAACACAGCACACATCTTCCCACACTTTGCCCTTTCCCCAATTCCCTTTCTGAAATACTTGTCCCTTAGATCTTCACATGGCTGGCTTCTCATCATTCTTGTCTCAAATGTCTCTAAATGTCACTTTCTCAAGGAGAGCTCTCCAGCCACTTGAACTGAAGTTAGGTGAGTCCAATTCTCTGTCCCATAGCCCTGATTTCTTTTTTTTTGTTTGTTTTGTTTTGTTTCAAAGCATGTATTACTCTCTGAAATTTTTTCTTTGTTAAATGTTTATTAGACTTTGTCTCCTGACATTATGTAAGTTCCATGATAGGGGACTTTTCTATGTTATTCAAATAGAATTCTCTGAGCCCAGAACAGCCCAGTACAGAATTGTGGCTCAGATGAATGTCTGTGGTCTAAGTGAGGAGACCCGGGGTTCTGGGACTTGATCATTGTGGAGATCCTGGAAAGCAAGAAGGGGCTCAAGCTCCAATAGTCTTTTATTCTGACGACACATTATATTCCTTCCCGTTTCTGTGAGAAATTCAGACAAACTTCCTATTTCCCCTATTAGTTAGAAGAAACATCACAGGTAAGGAAATGAAGATTTTAAGAAAGAGAAAATTCCATTAGGTTTCATCTTGTCTATGAATCTGTGAGAGTGCTGAGGGCTGTGCAAACTTCAGGGAGTCTCAGGAATCGTGATGACACAGCTGAGGAAAGAATAGTGAGGAACTAGAAGAAGAGGTAACCAAGCATGGTGATTAAGGAAAAGAGAGGGCATGACAAGTAAACCTATGGAATTTGGGGCCAAGACCCCAGAAGGCCAATGAGTTCCTTTGACTTGCTTACTGGCTTACAGCCTGTGGGATGTAAGAAAACTTCACATTCTCTCTGTAATCCTCAGTATGTGGAGTTTGAAACATATAAAATTGCTGATATTTGACTACTTTCGGCTTATGAAAATACAATTTTATATAATTTATCTTATTAATCCCTTCTTGTGAGCTTAGGTCAGAGAGAGGGGAGATGTAGGAGAAACTGACAGTATAGAAAGGTTCAAAATGGGTTCATAATGAACTTGAACGTGGCCAGGTTTTCAGAAGATGCCTGCAGTTCTTTAAGGCTTCAAGGAACACCTCACAGATGCTCCTTATCTACAGGGTCATCCCACGTCATGAGGGTCTCTGCTTCAGCTGCAGGGTGCTTTCCCAGGGGGGAACACAGAGCACTAACCCCACCTTCTGTCAGAGGGCCTCCCTTATTAGGGATACAGGCCTTATAAACATTGGGGTTCAGGGGAAAGGAAAGGATATCATTGGGGGGGCCTCTTGACACATCCCCACTTGTTAGGGAGAGGCACCAACATCACAGATCCTGTTGAGGTCACAACATAGGATCTTCGAGGAGAGACCTTCTAATTCCTTTTGATTTTTCATAAAATTTTCAGAGAAGCTTTCTCTTTTTCTGGCATAACTCAACATAGTAAAAGGAATCACTGGATGGAAAATGATTTTGACATCATTATTTCTAAATCTTCTCAAGGTCCCAAGGGAATGAGATGCAAGGCTGGAGAGGTTTTATTGGAAGAGAGTTGAGAAAACACACGGGGGGCGGGGGAAGAGAGAGAGAGAGAGAGAGAGAGAGAGAGAGAGAGAGAGAGAGAGAGAGAGACCCTTATGCAGCTCTCACAGAGGACAAGCAGCCAGGCTCCTTTGGTTGTAGAAGGAATTGGGGTCCATATGATTAATATATGTGGTCACTGAAGAAAACAATTTTCTAAGGGACGTGGCCTGGACACAGTGACAAAGCTAACTCCCCTCCTTCCCCCACCACACAATAACTCACTCCCCAAGGTGTGCACTTACGTGGGGTGTCCCTGGCCCAGGCCAGAGGAGGGCTCAGCACCATCAATATCACTGTCAGAGTTGCTGTCCAGGAGCCTCCGGGGAACCACAGATACACCATGCTGGGGAATGGAGAGGACAGGGCACAGGAGCAGGTGAGTCTCAGTCAGTCAGAACTATGGCCTTACTCCAGCCTCACATCAAATAATACAAACCAAGGAACTCATTTTTCTGTTCCTGAATTAAGTAACAGTGTTGGAGAACCAATCAGCATCAGAGATGAAAAACATCATCAGTTGCTGGTCAGAGACTCTGTGTGAAGGTCCTCTTCTGAAACTTAGAATTTCTGGCATTAAAAGGATTGTTTTAACTTAGTGCTTTAAAGCCTTGATCCAGTTGTATCTGAAACATTTTGTTGGGCCCCTATTATGAGCCATATCTGTGCTGGTCAATGATGTGAACACAAGTTTGAGCCTTTTAGGAGCATTCATCTCTCTCACTTGAAGTCAGAGCTGTTTTGACAAATGTATGAGTGAGAGTGTTAGGAGTTGAGAGGGTGGAGGGAAGATGATTTAAGTTAGGAGACCTTCAACCTGGTCCCTACTGCACCATAACTTAGTGGTGTAGTTTGGGGGAAATCACTTAACCTCTCGCAGGTTAAATGAAGGCACTGTGTCTTTCAAGTATTTCAATACTGGACAATTCTGTGATTCTGTGGACACCTCGCAGAGCAGCTTTCCCTAGTAACTGATGATATGACAGACTTACAGTTGTGGATTGGAAAATATCGTCTGCACCTCCTCACAGGAAGGGATGTTTCTGATCAACTGAAAGATGTTGAAAGTTGGTGAATAAATTAACCCAAGTGAAAGGGTTTTCCAGGTTTCCCTCCTGATGCTGTCACTGAGTTTAGTGGCACCTCCAGGATACACACAGAAAGGGGGTTAGAAAAGGTGATCTAACATTGTGGAATGAAGGGTCTTGACAGTACATTTGTATAACACTTAACAATGTGATAAAGCCAACTGTCCAAATCAAAGTATCTGGAGAGCTGAGAAATTGATAAAGAACTGAAAGCAAGCCTTTGGCACAACAGCTCTGCTTTAGAATAATTAATATTTCATGTGAAAAGCATTCAATTCCTTACTTCTAGTCCACATTATGATTTTCTCATTTTATTAGGGGATATATCCCCTTATTATTCACCTTCTTTTGCTTTATATTAAGGAAACATATAATAAGAGTTTGCAAATAAATACATTATAGTGTTTAGAAAATAGAATACTATGGAAAAACTATGAGTTATATCTTTTGATGTAATCATATAATTGTACTTTTAGATAATTATTATACATTATATTAATATAAATGTATATCTCAGATTTAGAATGGACTTTAAATGACAACTATATATCTAAAATTCTGCATTAATTGACACTCCACCACAGTTCTGATACAAAGTCCTTCTTTATGTGCCGTAATATTTCTAGTGACAGAGTTCTCACCAGGCTGCAATAAAAAGAATTATTTATTGAGCAATTTTTGAGCATTTTAGTTTGTGCCCAGAATTATACAAGGGCTTCTTATACATCATATTTTATTTAATCCTCGCATCATCTTCGTGAGATAAGTACCCTTTTCATCCCTACAGATGGGAAGAATAAAATGTTGGAGGTTAAACAACTTTTACAAGGATGCAAAGCTAGTAAACAGGACACTCCAGATTGAGCCAAGCGATTGTGATTCCAAATCCCACAAACTCAGCCATTGCATCATATCACCTCATATTCAATTTCTGAAAACAATAGTGTCCTTATATTAAAACTATTCTTTTCATTTTAATTCATGGATATGCATGTCAATAAGCCTACTCCTTTTAATGAATGACAGCATGTTATACAATTTGAGACAACTACAGTGTAGCAATTCTAGTTCCTTCAAAGGATTCCCACATCACCATTGTTAACCCTTCTCTGGAAATGACAAATTTTGCATTTATCTTATTAATGATACCCATGGCTCCTGCACACATCTCCTTCTCATTAAAGATAACAGTGATCTCTAAATTCCTAAATCCAACCTATAGTTCTCAATCATTTTTTCAGGTTTTTTAGCATATAAGTGCAAACTTGAACATCTTACAACAGAATAGAAATTTTATCTCGCTTAGTTTGGAAAAATATATTTCTATTAATGTGGAAAGGTCAAATTTTCTTGGAGAGGTTGGGAAGAATCACTGTTGCCCCTGGATCTGAGAAGAAACTATGTCCCCAAACTCCAGTGACAATTCAGTACTATTGGAAGTTGTACAACTGCTACCAGGAGAATTTAATTTGACAAACAGAAAAATATAATTTACTCAGAAACTAATTATGATGTGTGATAATCTGACAAAGCCAAGGTAAGGTTCCCTTAGTGTTATACAATGAAAGGGATGGAAAAGAAAAGTAATTCTAAATCAAGAACATAGTGAAATGTAATAGTTAAAGAGAACACCATCAAAACTTGTGCTTATAAGTTTGACATATAATTTACAAATCATACAAATTTATTTTTAAAAAGAAAAGGCCAACAACTATGACAACTGATGATGCTATTCTGCATGCTGTATACATTTATAAGTGACAAAAATGGCTGCTTTAAATATTACATATTTCAGTCTTTTCTTCAATAGTAATTCAATAAATGACAGCTAAGGTAATATCAACTGTCATCAGGTCATCAACCCTGAAGGTGATCTCTGGGGCTGAAAGTCTTCACTGAACACAGGAGGAGAAGCAATCCCCCTCAACTTCTGCAAATAAGAGGCTTATTTCCTGAAGAAAGGAAGTTACATTGGTTTCTGAAAGAAAGTGGTTATCAGTACAGAAGTTCTACAGTCTCTATTTTTCTTGCATGAAACCATAGGTTTGCTTTTAAGGGAAATAAATCACAACACTCTTGGGAATAACAAATAAGTGACATCAGAGGCACAGACTCTAGTTGAACAATAAGCAGGTTGAAATTTGAAGCATTACAGAATGTCTTGAGTCCTACCAGTTGTTACAGAATGGGACATACTTGTAGTAAACCCAGATGTTTGCTATATGAGGTCTGACAATTAAGTCTGCGAACTTGTTGCAAAGATGGTGCTAACCTTTTTTGATATCAGAGGGATTGTTCATTATGAAATTGTGCCAACTGGACAAATGCTTAACCAAGCTTACTATTTGGAAGTGCTGAAAATGCTGCATGAAAAAGTTAGATGATCTGAACTTTTCTCCAACAATTCATGGCTCTTGCATTAAGACAATGCACCAGCTCACACTGCATACTCTGTGAGGGAGTATTTAGCCAGCAAACAAATAACTGTATTGGAACACCCTCCCTACTCACCTGATCTGGCCCCCAATGACTTCTTTCTTTATCTGAAGATAAAGGAAATATTGAAAGGGAGACATTTTGATGACATTCAGAACATCAAGAGTAATACGATGACAGCTCTAATAGCCATTCCAGAAATAGCATTCCAAAATTGCTTTGAAGGGTGGACTAGACACTGACATCGGTGCATAGCTTCCCAAGGGGAATACTTCGAGATGACTGTAATAATATTCAGCAATGAGGTATGTAGCACTTTTTCTAGGATGAGTTCGCGAACTTAATTGTCTGCACATGTACATCTGGGTGAAAAGAGGCTCTTTTGGTTAGCAGCAAGCCACAGTTAGCATAGAATGTCTGTCTCTTGTCCAAATAGTCTTAGAATGTTCTCTGTGATTTTCAGAAAGCTACCACTACTAATTTGGAACTTAAAGTGAGAAGCAGATCACTGGTCCCTACAGATAAGGGAAAGAATATTAATAACAAGAAATGGATAAACAGATCCATTTTCTTCTCACTATGGAAGACATGCATTCTAAATAGAAGACTGTGCCATTTAAAAGCCATATTACCCCTCAGCAGGCTTGATAAGACACTTCCCAGTGAGATCTTGGCCACATCCTCCATTGAGGAACTTTGGATGAAGCCCATCTTTACACCATTGTGCTAAGTCAGTTGACAGGGCTTCTTTAATTTCCGAGTGTCATTCTTTGACTCAACTTACCTTTGTTTCCTAATACTTTAACACAGCAATTTTTTTAGAACTAGAGTATTTGCCATTGAGTAGTCACAAAGAGAACCTAGAATTTTCATAGGACTGTCCATTAATATTGTATATAGAAAGAGTTTTATCATCTTTTGCTTTGTTTTAGTCCTTGTGTTCATTGTGATGTGGCAAAGAATCTACTTCTTTATCCAGCACAAATATTAACCAGGCTTATTTTTCAAAATATCACTTTGGTGTTTCACTAGCAACTGCCCAGTGATTCCAGTTGTGTGCCTGGAATGCTGTTTTATTCAACATAAATAATAAAATCACTTGGCAGCTATTTTGCTCATAGTCCAGCACTATAACCAAGTTTCTACCCTGAAAAAAAATAACTTATTAGTAATTATTCTCCCCCAAAGTGAATGAGCTATTACCTTTGTCTTGATATCTCTTCCTATATGGTGGGTGCCTGCCAAATAAACCAACTCTTTCAATATTGTAGAGCAATTTTGAAAACAATGGAGCATACAACCCTTACTAATTATTGCAGGAATTCCTATTTTAGTCACAAGCATGATAAAGGAGCAGAACTTGGTGCTATTACATACCCATCTAGAGATTCTATAGATGTTTGGGTGCAAAAGATGCTTTGTCATGGGGGCCGGCCGAGTGGCTCAGTTTGTTAAGAGCTTGCTTAAGAGATCGAGCTCTGAGCAACAGGGTTGCCGGTTCAATTCCCACATAGGCCAGTGAGCTGCACCCAAGCTGAACTGCAGCTGAGCTGCCAACAGGTGGCAGTATGGCTTAGCTGGTGAGAGCATGTGTTCCTAACAAGGTTGCCTGTTTGACTCCTATGTGGGATGGTGGGCTACACCAGCCTATAACTAAATGACTGAACTAGGCACCTTGAGCTGAGCAGCCTCCTGGGTGGCTCAGTGGATAGAGCACACGCTCTTAACAACAATGCTGCTAGTTCGACTCCCACATGGGATGGTGGCTACACCCACCCGCAACTAAGATTGAACACAGCACTCTGAGCTGAGTGACTGCGAGCTGCCACAGGCAGCTAGATGGTGACGGGACTTGGAGCTGAGCTTTCTGCGCCCTCCACAACTAAGACTGAAGGACAACA